CCGAATAAAGTTCTTTGGCGGAAAACTTAGTACGAAGGTCGTGGGTTCGATAGCTCGTCACGACTGACTAAAGCAGAAAAAAAATAGAAAGTCAACTGCTTCTTTATCAAGGGACAATCACTATAAAGAGAAAAAAGCAGATTCCTTAACACAAGTCCGCTTGTGAAGGCAGGAGTTCCAAGATAAACGATTCCTTTCTTGTTAAAGTTCTTTCAACAATGAGAGATTGATAATGGAGACAAATAGTTTTTTTTTCCTTTTACAGAGAAGAATAAAACATAAAAGTAAGTAGGATTTTTCAAATTAAGATCATTTAAATGCGAACTGCCCTGATCGTAAATTTGGCAGAAAACTTAATCCTTAATACAAAGGTTTTGGGTTCGAAAGCTCGTCAGGACTGACTAAAGCAGATAAAAAAAGAAAGTCAACTGCTTCTTTAACTAAGGACCATCACTATAAAGAGAAAGAAGCAGATTTCAAAATGCAAGGCCGCTTGTGAAGGCAGGAGTTCCACGATAAACGATTCCTTTCTTGTTATATATTTTTTACATAGCTTTAATTACTAGATTAGACATCTGCCTGTTTCCTTTAAAAATTTTAAAAGTCTGGATATCTTAATCAAAATACTTACACATTATTTTGATAACAATCCATACATATATTGTTTTAAAAAAATCATACTTTTTTCTATTTTAATGCAGTATATCGTATTCATAGTTGTGCATTTAAGAGATAAACAACGTTATTCAGCGAACATGGCGTTGCATGTATGAGTATCAATTGCTCTGCTGGCTTTGATCGGTGTTCAGTGATGCGCACTAGTGCATCATGTAAAATATGCCAAGAGAGCTATTGCTTTACATAATGCTATGTTCACTGAATAATCATTTTTATGTATTACTTAAATTTGCATTCTTTGATGTTGTCAAGAATATCAGAGGAATTCCTGGCTTACGTGAGCACGCTACGCCATGTCTGAAGTAAAGAAAAGACGCGGCTATAAAACTAGTACATCTGATCATACACCTTTTCACGAATAAATAACAAACATTTTATAAAGTATTTGCCTCTCATTCGCACTTGTCTAGATACAAGCTGCGCCGAACGTATTCACATTCTTAATATTTAGTTGTGACGTCATCGATCAACATAATTGAAACCCTTTGACAAAAAGCTGTAAAACACTTTGATGAAAAAACACAATGTTTTAAGAATGATTATAACTCAAGAATGCTTTTCTGTGAATTTTTAAGTTCTACGAGGGTTGTTCGAAAAGTTCGTGGACGATGCCCATCTTCGTTATATTACTCACTGGAAATTCAAAACAAGCACATTATAATATGTAAAAATAATTGCTTTGTTGATGTGTTTCATTCCATTCGATTGAACACAAATAAATTTACTTCCTTTTAAAATCAACATGTTTTGTACCCGTGGAGCACACAAAACGGCAATGTAACGTCAAGACATAGCGTCGAAAATTTATAATAGATACTATACCTATACATTTCACACAGAATATTCCAATGCCCATTCATTAAACTATTTTTCTAATTCTTGAAATTTGTTTTTTTTTTTTTTTTTTTTTTTTTTTTTTTTTTTTTTTAAGAATTGATCTCATATTGTATAATTTTCTTTTGTAAAGGTTTCAATTTTTTTTAGAACTTAACTCTGCTTTCTCAGATTAGGCAACTCTGTAGCGCCTTTGTCTTTCATTTACGTTTCAAAATTTAAAGTTTTCAGTAAAACCGTTTCTTCACAGGTCATCCTCATCCGATACAGAGTCCCTGTCACTCAAATATTGCATGTACTCTTTGTACATACATGTACAACTCGTTTGTGACATATTTCTTGATTCTTTTAACATTTTTAGAGTTTATTCATGATTTTTCCTGAGAAAAACACTAAATTGCTTCGGTACCTGCTGCTCCGTGATGTTCTAAAACGTCATCATTTTTGTCGTTTTCAATAAGGACAACTTATCTTCTCAAGTTGATTTCTTTTCAACAAAGCAAAATATAAAACCATCATTTGGTACACGTATCAATGTAACAAATTTTAATTTGAATTTCTAGGTAGTTTTACGGTTTTCATCCAGTTTACAGAGAATATGACTATAGACTTTATTTATTGTGTTGTCTGTAACTGACTAAATTTTGATCTGCTCCGCGATCCGATTTTTGCATTTTTAAAATCTGGATAAGTTTTTAATTAATTATAATATGTTGTCAAAATTCATACATATCATTTGGATTTATTGTCAAATTATTTCGACCAAATTTGGATAACATATGACGTCAAATAAAAAAGATATGGCAGTTGTCCACGACCTTTTCGAACAACCCTCGTATTTATCTTTAAGAGCTGGAATCGTTCTTGAAATAGATAAACTATTAAAGAAAGTATATTTTTCTGAATGTTGAAACATCCTAGTTTGAAGAGTTATCGTTCTTTGTACAAATATGAACAACATATTTTAAGGGAAAAAAGTGGTGTTCTCTTTAATTTTGAAAAAAAAGTTCTATTATACAATTAAATACATTGACCAAGATTATTTTTCATAAAATATAAATCAGTAATCTTAAAGGATTCTGAATTTCTTCTTATTTCAAAGTTATATTTATTCCTTTTGCAGAACATGCCATATATATACTTCCGAACGCGTGTTATTAGACTAGTGTAGCAGAGCTAGTACTATGTGAGTGTGAAAAAGGAATTGCACTCATAGCAACAGAACTTTCGTTTAAAGTCCTATAAACGCAATTGAAGACTGCAGGTTCATAGTGGTTAATAGTGGAAGAAAGCAGAGGGAATGCAGGTATAAACCTTAATCAATTCTACTCACCTGGAAACATAACCCTGTCATGGCGTCACATGTTTTATTAAAACAAATTGCACTGCATGTTTCATTACATCCGTAACCATGAAAACCCCAGATGCATTCTAAATTCGGAAAAGCCTATTACTATTTTTATGTTTTCCATTTCGAAGAAAAATGAAACAGAAACAATGGAATCTATAATTTCATACATTTAAACAATATGCTTATATATGAATAAATGATGATCTAAATAGTTACAAAAATGGTTTAATTCCCCACAGATTATAATATTAAGCATAGTGTATCAAACAATTTCTTTATTTTACCATATTTATGAATTCATTTAAAGGACAGATATTTCAAACAACATTTCGAGACCGAGGAGGTTATTCTGCATCATTCACGACAACAAGGACTTTATTTCTATTCTACCACGGACGATTAATACGGCCGATTGTTTCCTCTATAGAGAAACGAATTAGGTCACCATGTCTCGATTACGCTGTTCTATTTAACACCAAAGAGAAATTTTGTTGACTTACCTATATATGGAATGCAGATATTTGAGCTTTCCGTGCATTAAAAACAGTCTTGTTTAATTACAAATTTGTTCGTTATATGTATTGATCACTTAAAATGAATATACAAAAACAAAATCATGTTCTTATTTTACTGCTAAAATCACGTTGTTTAATGTGTAGGGAGGTCCGTGGAATAGCCCCGCTTAGCTATAAAAACCGACATTCATCAGCAACTTGATGCAATTTACAGTGTTTATACTGCAAAAGACGACACATCGATGCGGTCTAATCAAGTATTTCATTCTACATCCAAACATGCATTTGAATTGTTCAGATTTGATACGTGTTTCTGATCTGATAATTTTTTGATGACGTTCGTGGTCTATTGGAGAATAATGTCCGGCGGCTCCTTTGAAGTTTTTCAATAACCGTGTCGAAATAACTGTATCTCACTTCCATTCTCAATGACCGTGTAGTGTAGGACAGCGTTGTGACATCGGCATCGAAAGCAAGTTTTTTAACTTGCCTAGATAGCCGAGCGGTCTAACGCGCTGTTCCTGCACTGCTAGGAGACAGATTCCGTAGGTCGATAGTTCAACCCCGGGCTGGGGCGGAAGTGAGTATCCTTGTAAGATTGAATTTCTCTGTGCTTTCTATATTAATATTTCTTCACTTAGGGTAGTTATATTAGTTTAAGAGTTGTTGTAATTTGTGCTTTATATATATATATATATATATATATATATTTATATATATTTATATATATATATATATATATATATATATATATATATATATATATATATATATATTGAAAATGATATGCTTATTAATCAGTACATATCATTTTCACTTCAAATTCTCTTTTATAGAAAATCTGAAAAAAAATTATATACTACACAGTAAAATTCTTTCATTGGACTCATTAAAACATGACTCAATTTGTTATTTTCAATTTCAAGTGTGTTTGTATCGCCAGTTCTTTATTATAACATGAAAGAATATCGGGGTTCCAAGGAACGTTACCATATAGAAACGTTTTTCAATGTAAAAAGTGAATGTTACAGTATTGTTTGACATAACAATGTATTTTTTCCAGTCCTGTTTTGTTTAATAAAACTAGTTGTTTTGAAAATATTGAAAACTGTTTTATTTATGTCTGTATAACATCTCAAAGTGAAAATAAACTTACTTTGTTACTTTGATTTCTTGAGAACTTATTAGGTACCTTGTTTACAGTTGATTCCTTGGTATCCTCTATCGCAACCATTCAAGCATGTCCCTTTTATATAATGACATTGTTCTTCATGAAGACAAACCCCGCACGACTGAGCACAGTTTAGTCCAAATGTATTCCCACCACATTCTTTAGAAGAAAATTATCTCATCTTTGATATTTTTAGCATTGTCATTGGGATTGCTTTGTCAAATCAATCACTATATGAATGTATTTAACACTTGTTTTGCTTGCATCTGATATATATTCCCTAATGTATATAATGCATGTATGCCCTAATGTTTACTATTGTTTAAAGCAATAAAACATTTCTAACATTCTATCATTTTCAAATCTAAAATGATAAAATAACTTAATTTGGTTGTTGATTTAAATAAAACAACGCAATATTGATAAATATTTATATATTTTTAAAGTCTACTTTGGTCACACTTCATCCCTTTCCAGCCAGCCTGACATCCACCTTGACATTCCCCTGTTACTCTGTTACATCTACTAGGGATTCCACAGTTAATGCTACACACGTCCTGGCAGTTGTAGCCATAACGTCCGATTAGACATTCTAGTAATATAGGAAGCATGTGTAACGTAAAATTTATACAGCATGATGCGAGCACTAGTAAACTATAAATACAGCATAAAACGTAGTATTGTATAGTGCTCAGATTAATATACTTTGCAAGATGTTTAGCTCTATACAAGGAATAAGATATAATGTTAAGAAAATTTGGTGGTAAGATGCTTAACTCAGATTAACCTTTATCAGTCGCGGACATTAGTCTCCAATAAATCACAAACGTCGTAAAGAATTATCAGATTAGAAACGCGTATCAAACCTGTGCAACTGAAATGTACAATTGACTTAAGAATGAAATTTAGACCACATTAATGCATCATCTTTTGCAATTTAAAGATTGTATTTTGCAGAAAGTGGCTGATGAATGTAGATTTCTAAAGCTAATCGGAGCTGTTCCACAAACAGATATATAATTAATAAAAGGTAAATTTCATTGCGGCGAAAGAACAAATAGTCTGCATTCTTTTCACAGGTAAACAAAACAAATTCACACTCTGGTGCTAAATAGAGGAGCATTATTGCAGCATGGTGAGCTTACTTGTTTCTCTATAGGGAAACGATCAGTCTTATTTTATAATTTTTTATTAGCAGAATGAAAATAAAGTATTTGTTTTCGTGAATGATTCAGAATAGACTACCCGGTCTCGAAATGTTGTTTGAAATAAAAAAAGGAGTTTCACACAACATTTTATAACCTCTGAGGTTATTCTGCAACATTCACAAAAACTCGGACTTTATTTCTTAAATAAACATTATTTACCGCTAGTACATCTCTCTCCCTGAAATCCTCTGTCACATCCTTTAAAACAAGTACCATTAACGTGTTGACATTGTTCTATATTCAAACATGAACCACAAGACACACCGCAGTCTTCTCCGTATGTTCGGCCATCACATTCTGGAAAATAAATTTATATCAAATATATACAAGGTAAATTGTTTTGAGATAAACTAATGGAATATGATTTTTTTAAACGAAAATAGTTTTGGAATTGAAAATACCATTCTCACAGAATACCCCCTTCCATCCATCGTTACACCCAAACTCACAGACACCAGTAAATCTGTTACAGACTCCTTTACAGTTTGGGTTACAGAGCTCAACACAGTTTTTTCCATGTCTTCCTTGAGGACATTCTGTCAAAACAGAAACAAAACGTATATTTTTGCCAAAATGAGGGAAAATTTTGAAATAAAGGAATCAGTGTTAAGTTGAAGCCCGTTATGCATAAACTGTCCCGCGTTTCACACTTTCTTTGATGTTCTTGTCATTCTATGCTACATGTAGTTAGACGGTAAAATGAAATTGTAGATTTAGATTTTGAAAATGACAAAAAAATAGCAATATCACATGGGCTGATTTTTACCATTTAGCTTTTCCTAATAAAATTCACCTGGATTGGTATATTTTTCTTAAGTTTATATTACACTTTTAGCGCCAAGATAACATATTCTGAAATTTATTTTCACCTGTAAACCTTTACTGAATGTGATTTGTCTATATTTGTTTTTTCATTGAAATATTGCATATATTTTCCAAGTCTTTTTCACATTCCAGTTCTTAGGAGAAAAAATTCTAAGAACCATCTACATTTCTAAACTTGTGTGACATGGTATTAAATCTTTTTCAAAGAAAAATTTGTTTGCATCATCTGTCCTTATAATTAACTTATTATTTTAACCATAAAAAATATTACAGTATTATTCTTCGACTGATTTTCCACTTTATAAGAGTAAATCGATATATGCAGATGACTCTCTAAATATCAGCGTTAAAATGCTTTTAATAAGGTACTTCCGAATAAAGAACTGATTAAAGACGTTCTGATAACAAAAGTCATGAAAACCCCACATGCAGGTTGCTGAAGTTATATATTTCGAGTAAATACGTCACAGAGATTCACTGATATATTTTATTATTTTGTTATTGCTTCAGACAATAACTTTATTTAAGGTCAGACGATACGTTCCTCAAATGTTTTGTATTTCTTGGTATTATATCAAAAACTTTTTCATATTTGTCACTCTCCTCTGATTTCTACATCGTTTTCAAAATGTTTTTAAATACAGGGACACAAAAAATTGTGTTAAAGGCCCTTTAGAAGATAACCCATAAGGGTTATATAAGAAATATGACCCTATGGTATCTTAACCAAATGCCTGGTAAGGTATCCTTTTTTAGTGACGGAACTTGTTTAAGTTTTTACACCTAAATGACAAATTCTTAAGTAGGAAAAATTATATACTTTTGAGGAACTGACCTTATATGAACTTTAACAGACCTTGATCACATTTATTCCCTTGGACACCAACGTCACATCCGTTAGGACAACTGCCATTCACGTGGTTGCATTGTTGTACGTTGCTACAGTTACCACAGGTCATGTTACATTCAGGTCCGTATCTAGTATTATCACATTCTGTAAAAATATATTTCTTTAGGTCAAAGTTGTGAATTTACCTCTTTGAGCAACCGATTTTAAACATACATGCAAGAAATATATGGGGAAAAACATTTAAAATCTTAATTGTTCATATGGGAAAAAAAAAATCCGAAAAAAATTATAATCCACATTTTCATTAATATTTTAATAATTCTTAACCTTGATTCTCCTGTGCACTGAGTTCATCAGAACATTTATGTTACCTATGGGGTACCATACATATATATATATATAATTCTTATACGTGAGTTTTAAATTAGTCCAGGGTTTTTTGGTAGCATTCCACAGGCTGAAAATCTAATGTTCAGTAAATAGACCAAAAATAAAAGAAAAAGAATTCATGAAATTCGGCTAATTGATAAAGGTAAAAAAAGAAAATGACTAGAATTTTTTCAAGTTAAATATGCTACATGCATTTAAATTGAATGTAGGATTGTCTTGCTTACGTGTGCGAGTCCCACCAGAAGCAAAAAAGGCAACTTCAGGTTATGCAAGAAAAACTGCATAAATTGAGTATCATGTGCTGTCTCATAAATATGTTTTAAAGAGTATTTGAAATAATTTAATTTTCAAGTGCATGTTATGTAGACTGCAAATGTCTAGAGAGTAACTACAAATATCAAAAATATTAAACTTCTGGACACGTTAATTATATGAATAATAAACTTTGATGAGTGGGTAACAGATTTAGGAGGAAAAGCCTCCGCCGTCACTTCGGGAAGTGATTTAAAAAAAAAAGATCCACTTGTGACCTTGACTGTGACATACATGTTTTTTAACCATATGAGACATAGAATTCATAATTAGTATGTGTAATACACTAATTATGCTCTTTCACCCTTTGACATTGACTGTGACCTATATGCTTAAAATATTTTCTGGAAACTGTTTATGCCGCTGGGTGCATGGTGTTTTACAAACATATTTAAGATATGACTTGTATATACATACCTTCCTCACATCGTGGTTCTTTGTACCCGGGAACACATCTAAGACATGTCCCATCCTCAATGTTACAATGTCCTTTCTTGCAATTTTGTGGGCATGTTATAGTACAGTTTTCTCCATAATATCCCGCCGTTGGGCACACTAAATTGATATTAAATAATAGGTTAAAGAAATCACAGAAATTAAGAGATTTTTGCATTGATTTACTTGTGGATTAAAAAGAGCAAATAAGATCATTTCATTTTATCTATGTGTTTTTTTTTTTCAAAATCTATGTAACAAATTAAAAAAGTAAAGAGATTCAAACATAGAGAAAACAATATATACATTTTGTAGTAGCTTGTTTTTGCAGATAGATAATTTCGTTGTTTTGTGTGATAAACTCTCAATTTTTTTTATAGTCATAGTCGTCAATTACGTAAATAGGGTAACAGACGCAATTTCTTCTGCTATGAGTGCAAATCCCTTTTCACTCTCGCATTGTATAATGTACTAGCGGAATGTACTACTTTGGGAACTGCCAAATTTTAATTTTTCTTATCATATTTTTGCATCTTTATACAAAGAACGATACTTTTTCACAATAGGATATTTCAGTATTAAGAAAAACATTTTTAAAAAGCTTATCAGTTTAAAGAATGAATTTAGCTTTAAAATAAATAACACAACTGAAAAAAATCAAAGGAAAGAATTCTGGGGGTTAGGATTATTGTATTTAAGCATGATCCTTTTTCATCACAGTATTAAATTATTGATTTTTGTCATGGAGTTTCAATTATGTTGATCAATGACGTCGCAACTTCAATTTCAACAAAATTAATAGATTGAGATGATGATGCAACTTGTATTCAGATAACTGTGTATGCGAGGCAAATACCTCATAAATATTTTTGTGACTTGTTAGAAAAAAGTTGTAATGATCAGGTTTACTGATTTTATAACCGTGCGTTTATCTTTACGGAAGACAACAAGCCACATTCATATGCATGTCAGGATTTCCTCTGATATTCTTAACAACATCAATGAATGCAAATATTAGTAAAAAACAACGATTACATTTATTCAGTGAGGATGGCATTATGGATAGTAATGACTCTCTTGGCATATTTTTCATGATTTATTACTTAAATAAAACTTTCATGTATTATTGAGTATTGTTGATAATTGCTAAAAACTATCTAAAATAGATTACACCCAAAGCAAACATTTCAGTTTTACAGAAAATAATTTATGTTTTGCTTGAGTAATTAATTGAAAAAAAAAAACTCCATGTAACAGACATAACAATAAAAAATTGTATAACGATCAAATACGTCACCACATAAAAATTGATTGACCAAAGGTACATGTATTGTTCCTTGCTTATTTTTTTTTTTTTTTGTTTTATGGTGCACTGCATTTAGAATTATACGTTTCCGGGCGAGGCACAGAATTATGCAAAAGGTATTTTTGATAAAATAATTTCAATAATATCATTCATTTTAAAGAAAGAAAAGTTTCCTATGTTATGTGAAGAGTTTTAACTAATGTTTTTTTTTTTTTAAATTCTGTCACCGTTCACAAAATGTACTGAAAACAAGTTCGAAGCAATCCGTTTGGAAGAAATATAGGTTTTAATGAAGTTACTCTTGATAATTAAATTACCTCTTTTTTAATCATTACCTAAATAAGTATGGGCTCGGAAAATAAAAATAAACCTTCGTTTGCTTTTATATTTAAAACTAAAAAGAGTTGAACGAGGATCAAAACACGATTCACCTACTCAAAATAAAAGTAAATATATTCCAAATTATGTCTCTGTATTCGATGAAACCAGTTTTTTCATTGTATTATTGAACATATACATGTTTCAGTTATTATGTGTTAAAAATGTGTTTGTGAAAATATATATATATATATATATTTTATATTTTGCAATTCAAATGTATCAGGAAACATATGGCATACCATTCTTTCAAGATTATAATCGGACCAAAAAAGTAATATAAAGTATCTTTTGTCACACCCCCTCCTTAAAGAATGTGCTATCTATATTCACAGACAGATGTCATGAAATCAATTTATTTGTACTCACAATATAGGACCAATTTAGCTCCAATTTAGGACGGAAAATATATAATTTATATTATTATATGTTTAAAATATCTTTTCAAACAGTGTCTGAACAGAATCATACCTTGATTTACTTTTAAAGCAGTCTTAAAATATAGAATATTTTTTTCGGCATTGCTTAGGCTTCTTACCATAAACTTGAAGTTCACATAGTTCGCTGAAAGCGTACGCTGAATATCCCTCAGGATAGATAACTCCTGGCAGTCTCTCATTGTAGTAGATCACGTATCTCCCATGCTTTACACAATCTAATGTAACATTTTCTGGTACTGTATCTCGTGTGTAATTTGTATCCTTGAAACATAAGAACCATTCATCTTTTTTAGTTGTGTTCGATATGTAGACTGAGAATCCAAGAACTCGTGATGTGTAAGGATTGGACGAGCCTGTTAAAAAACCTTGTATTTTTAAGATAATAGAGAGGTTAAGCATTTGAACGTGTACATCTACTTGTACGTGTAAACCTAGAAGTGATTTTAAACTTTTGCGTAACTTATGTCGCGTTCTGTTTAATAACAAATTGAACGTGTACCGGTACGTTTAAAACGTCATTTCAGCAAGGCACTTTACAATCCACTCGTATCAAATAAATCTTTGACTTGAAACAAAAAAGATACATTGGATGTTCGTAATAAATTCTCAACTTCGTACCAAATACCAACTGAGAAATATTTATTCCGTAGTTTGAGTTTAAGAAGCTACAAGTTTTCACCTACGTGTAGTTTCGAATCTACACGTTGTGTACAACTTGTAGAATTACGCGGCATGCAAAACTGATGACATAAATTGCATTAAATTAGGGGATTTCCCTGGCTACACGTACACGTAGACGTTCATGGTCATCTGCTTTACCTCTCTAATGAGCGAGTTTGGGACTAATTAAATTACTGTAAATCACTTTTTATTCGCGAGAACTTTATTTTCGCGTAATTACGCGAGACAGTGTGCTCGCGAAAATTTAATTCTCGCGTATAATAGTATCCCTTAAGATTATTTAGAGCAATTAATATCCATAATTCGTGAAAATTTTGTCTCGCTAATCAAGAGTCAATTACTATCTTGTTAAAATAAGGTGTCGCGAAAATTAAGTGATCTACAGTATGTCTTTCAAACGGAATTTTGGAACATTTTTTTTACTATGTTTCTTATAATAAAGGTTTTTGGGTTTTCTGTTGAAGAAAATCTTAATTTTCCCAGGTTTCTTCTCCACTATTTTTCTCTTTTACTTTTTTTTCTCTTACCTATTATAAGCCGAGATCTCGGAAACGGCTGGATAGAATTTCATGAAAGTTTTAGGTCCGATAGAAAAGTAAAACATTCTTGATATAAGTATACATATTTTTTTTATATTTTGAAAAGTCACTCCCAGTTCGAAGATTTCTTCTTTTTTTGCATCTTTAGACGGTAACTTATCCGGTTTTCAAAAACCATGGCAACATAGAAGTACTAAATATTTTGTAATGATAGAGCAACCTACGTAGAGTGTGTATATCACGGCCACCAGAAAATTGGATGCAGGTCGTTTTTGACTTATCAAGAAATTAGAATTCGTTACACTTTTTTGTTTACATTTTTCTTTACCTGGAAAAAGTTGATAAAACCTCTCGAACAAAAGAGATGCAAAATTACAAAATCATTCAAAAGCTTTGTAAAAAAGGGATTAGCACTGAAAAAGGAACTTAAAAAATCAAAATTTTCCTTGATATTTAGTTGCTTTTAGGTGTCTATTGCACTGTTTTTCTTATTACTTTTTACTTACTGATTTTGTGCACGTGATTTCTCGGAAACGACCTATATGACTTTCATGAAATTTTCAGGTCTGATAAAACATTAAAAAGATCCTAAGATTGTTGCAGTTTAGTGATTTAAGCGGGTCAGTTGTCCGCAGCTTTTCTATAAACCGCTCATCACAGATGAAACTTTTATGGAAGAAAGAACAACAAATATAGATGTGTAATAGGTAGTGTATTTCACGTCAAAGATCGTTTCTCTGGAGTTCGAAAAAGAGCAGGCTCAACGGAGCCGCGAAAGAAACCATTTTTTTAAAACCTATTATTTAAAATTATAGTCCGCCGAAACTAGCTGAAAAACTGCCGACTCAGTGATAAACACTTTACAATCAATCAATCAAGGGATCTGGGTTAGAATAGGTCCTCAGTACTCCCTTGCTTGTCGTTAAAGGCTACTAAATGGGGCGGTCCTTCGGATGAGACCGTATAAACCGAGGCCCCGTGTCACAGCAGGTGTGGCACGATAAAGATCCCTCCCTGCTTAATGGCCCTGAATTCCGAGCATAGGCCCAAATTGGCAGCCCTTCACCGACAATGGTGACGTCTCCATATCAGTGAAATATTCTGGAGAGGGACATTAAACAGTATACAATCAATCAATCCACGCGAAGTACTGCAAATTAATGCTCGGTATGACCAGAAAAAATCTTATCAAAAGTTTCAATTTTTTTGATTATTTCTCTACGGTACTTTTTTACTTGTTAAAACATTTAGAACAAAGTGACTGTAGAATTACAAGATTTTCCAAATGTCATCTTTAAAAAATAGCTCACCTATAATAAAGGATCTAGAGGGCCCGAATTTTTTCCCGATATCTCAAAACGTATTAAGAAAGCAAAGTTGTTCAAAATGTCAAGTAAAATGTACTATGATCGTCGAAATACCTCCATGGACATCACTTCCGGCAAACGTTTTTGCATAAAATCTGTCACTTTGGAATTAAAAATATCTTTGTTTCCCCTAACCCGAGCCTAAATTCTCAAATTAGGTCGGTAGGTCAAAATTTTTTAAAAATCTGATAGCAACTTTGAAAATACATTTTGAAATTTCATGGAAATAAAATAAGAATTGTATAAAAGAAAGTAATTTATTCACAAAATGCTGTACGTATGCCGTTTCGCAGCACTGTTAAGGCCTACTATTAGAAATCAACGGAAAATATATGTGCAAAAAGTGGGTTTTTATTTAAAATTGAATTTATTTCAATTAAGCTGTTTTATTATCACAGAACTTAAATACATATGGAAATAGCAAAGTATAACCCACTGTGTACTGTATGAAGTTTAGTCCCATCGATGGACAGGCACTCGATGAATGCATAGTACGTGTACTGAATGTAGGTCATTAACAAATTTCAATATCGCAAGGGCATACCCTAGTTGAAATTAAAAATTCAAGCTTTTAATTGTTTCTGCATACTTTGTAGTTTCTTAAAAGTGCTGCTGCTTTGAATAGAATTCGCGTTTTAATAGTTAAATTTTCAAGTAAATAGGCCAATGTAAAAAAATATTTTGTGTACTTATGAAATCACGCCCTCGATTTAAAGAAAGCAGCAGCACTTTTCAAGTTAAGGATAATATCCGTTATCTATATTCAAAAAATGATTAAGATCTATGCAGTGTATGACCTTGCGAAAGTACGATTTTATTCTGCATTTCAATCTAAAATATACGTAGCCTGTACATAAAAACACGACATAATTAATAAAATACATTCTCTGGAAAGTTAATGAATAATCGCACTGAACAAAGGATCTACATTGGTATTGATCGACTATTTAAAACCTATAAATAATATTCAATTTTATTATAAAACGCATTTTTCCTTGTTAAAAAATTTCTCAATCTGCCTCTCACAGTACATGAAATACGTCATGTTTACCAAAATGACGTCATATACCCGGTATACAAGTTCATCGCAATCAGTGCTTTGTTTAAAACCTGCTATACGGAATTTACCTAGCTACGTTTTTTAATGTATTGATAAGTTTAATTGTGTTTATTAAGCTAATACAGTTAAAAGTTGCCAATTATTTCATTTTCAGGTATCATGAGAAATACATAAAAGTCATATTTTTGTGTTACGTCACAGTAAACTTTCCCCGTATAAATTAGGCCCCGCCCCCTAATTCAAGCCTTAACAATGCTGCATTAAAAGCAAAAAAAAAAACACGATTAATTAAATCACAACTGTTATTAAGTTGAACTTGTGAAATATCTCACGCCAGAGAACATTTATATAAATCAATTTTTAAAAAAGACGAGCATATTTTTTTTCCGAACTCACGACCTCCCGATCACGAAGCGTTGTTAAGGCTTGAATTAGGAGGCGGGGCCTAATTTATACGGGGAAAGTTTACTGTGACGTAAACCTTCCATCAGCCTCCATTGTTTAGACAACTGCTGTACTTTTTATGGGCCGTGAGATTTGCAGTGGTTCAAGAGCATTTTGTTTCGGAGTTAAGAAGTAAGCAGCTAATTTTCAGCTTCAGGTTCAAATCCCAATGAGGAACGTTTAAAAGGGTTCATTAAAAGGGACTATAAAAACTTATGTCAAGCGTCACAGAAGATGCTGAATCAAAAAAAAATCTCCCATGGATAAATGGCCCAAAAAAATAGCTGAATACATCTTAATTTGGAGTAATGGATTAATGTTCAAATGTCAACAAATTTCGAAGGATTAAAAAGCCCAAAAAATACCCAATCTTCAAGGGCCTAATTAAAGAAAAACAAATTACACCTCTCAGGAAGCTGGATCCTGCTTTCAAAAATATTTGAATTTAGAGTACGTAAACAATATGCAATTGAACCAAACCGAATTTACAAATGATAAAAATGCTATATACATATACATTGTTTTAGTCACGAAGTTTTACTCATTAATAAAGGCATGAAGAAAGGACATCTGAATTACATTTATATTAACAGGATTAAGTTGCAGACCCCATTCACGGTAGCTCAGTCGGTAGAGCGCTCGCTTCGTGATCGGGAGGTCGTGAGTTCGTATCTCGGCCGCGACTGACCTAGTCGTTAAAATTGGTAGCAACTGTTCCTTTGCCATGCACTCGGCAATTTGAAGTGAAAGTTGCAGGTTCTTCGGATGAGACCTTGAAAACCGAGGCCCCATGTCAGCGGCAGGGGTTGGCACGATAAAGATCCCTCACTGCTCAATGGCCCTGAGTGTTGAATAAAGGTCAAAATTTGGAGCCTTTCACCGGCATACGGTGACCTCTCCATATGAGTGAAAAATTCTCAAGAGGGACATGAAACAATATACAATATATCAGTCAATATGCAGATGAATTTAGAACTCATATATTTCCATAATGGCATGTTGTAAACACATTGGAACATAGTTGAACTGGTTATTAGATCAAAACTCAAATAAAATAAAATGAAGAGAAAATAAATGATGCGTTGACTATGTGGACCTCTCATCTGCTCATTATGCGGGCCTTACCATGTTATACTTACCTTAAATTCAACAGCAAGGTTTGTTTATATGTTGTTTCACGTCCCTTTCGAAAATATATTCACTCACAAGGAGACGGCAAGACACACCATAACACTCTTAATTAGTAATGGTAAATTTTATTATCGAATTGTTTTATTATCGATTTCACTTATCGAAGAGTGAGGAATTCTTATTAGATATCGGCATAAGATTGATACATAGCAATTCTTTTATGAAGAACACGTTCTCTGTAATCACATCTGAGTGCATTTTGTTTCCAACAAATGCTTGAAAATCACAGTTGAACAATGTCAGCCCTTCTGATAAAAACTGATTTTGATAAAATAGAATTTTACTAAACTTGGTTAACAATAAAAAAAAATGTGACTCGTCTTATTTAAAAAGAAAAATCTTTTCAGACGGTGTGATTTAATTTGATAATCGAACACAAAGATATCTTTTAGATTTGCCTTACATTGTTCTTTTATTTTTAATTCACAAATTATTTCCTTTGACCTTGTATTTGAAAAAGTCTAATATTGTCTGAGCATGCTATTCATTAATAGTTCTGTAAATGATATATTTCTTAAATAAGATATCTAGACAAAGTGTTGAGAACTGAAATTTGATTTTAAAAAAAATGAAAATAATAGACATGTCATAAAGATGACAGTGATAGTGCATTTTGCTTGCTGAAAAGTTCATGTTTAACGAGAAATCTATATTTAAAATAAATGCTCCATCTGACTTAGACTAGCATTCTAAAGCATAGTTTTCGGCTTCTAAAGTCTTGTTATATATTTGTACTGTATATTTAGTACCCCAAATGATATTGTCTGTCCTGTAGAAGAAATTGACGTGATGTATGCTTCTTAGGCCTCCTAGATCCACCCACAAGGTGGCAGTTGTTTTTACATTGCCAGAAATCGTACATTGTCCTCCAGCAGGTGACCGATCTGTAAATCTCCCGTCTACAGCTTTATCTGCTCCCCATTGCTGGTTAACATACGGATACTGCAGCCAGGCTGTCTTGCTTAATGCAATATTTTCTGTAAATGAAAGCACAATCTGATGCTAGAATCGAGCTAAATATAGTTGCAGTGCAAAGGTAGGTATTTTGTTTGAGCTGCGGACAAGACGTGATCTTGTTACAAGATCATGGCACATTATTGCGTTTAAAGGTCATACATGTAAGAGAGGGATATGACTATTACATTGTTTTGCATGAAAACTGACAGTGAAGGATTTTGACCATGAACCTGTTTGAATGATATTGCTCAAAATCATGACGTAGTCTGGTTTCAATGAAATTTAGTCTGGTTATAACTAAATTGAAAATAAATTTTAAAAAAAATATTAATACATGTTTCATTACTTAAAATGAAAATTATTATTTCAGTAACCTTAAACTCTTTTCAAAACTATGTCACACTTATCCAGATGAATTGCCCGCATGGAGCATCGGTTAGAGTGTCTGCTCTAGAGTTGCAAAGTAAAGAGTTGATCCTTGCAATGCGGGTTTGAATTCCAAGTTGGGACGTTTAGACCGGTCCTTCGAATTAGACGGTATAAACCGATGTCCTGTGTTGCAGTGGGTACTGGTATAAAAAAGACCCCTCCCTGCTCAAAAGCCCTGCGTGCCGAGTATAGGACAAATTTGCTGCACTCCACCGCCAAGTGGTGACGTCTCCATATGAGTGAAAATTCTCAAGAGGGACGTTAAACAATATACAACCAATCAATCAATCTTATTCAGATGTACTAGTAAACAATGCATTCGTAGATAAACTACAACGGATTTACAGTGTTTTTGTCATTGACCCCGAATATGTCCAAACGAAATAGCATTAAACATGTTAAATTAAGGCTATAACAAATCTAGGTATGAGTTATTTCTGTCTTGGGGTTCAGCCATCTTCTTTGCGATAATATATCTAGTATTTAAAAAAAATCCTAGAATGTGTAACCTTCATAGAACCGACAATCCCTCTTCTCATAAACGTTGAGGAACAAGGAGTTTTTCTTCATTGAAAGTAAGTATAACACCTTCAAGAAGGGGCAATCAACTTACTAAATGCAACACTTACATATTTAAGGGAATGCACATAACTTTTAGATTATAGTTTAGATGCATTTTTTATGTAAATGTGCTCTGCTGCAAATACCCAAGTACTCGTATACATGTATACGATTGAAACTTTTTGTTTTCTTTTAAAATAGATTTGTTTTAAGCATTGAACTTTATATCAACTTTATATGAAAAATAAAGCTGTTTCCGTAGTCATTTTAGTTGAGTTTTAGGGCTTGCTAATTAAAGTGAAAGTCGTGTTGAAAAGCACCAATGCTGTTCAATGTCATGAAACTTTTACAGGATAACCATATCATGTAAACTCTATTTGATAAAAAAAAAGCGATCAGGACCGGAATTAAAAAATATCTTTGTTCAACCTTACCCGACCATAAATTCTCAAATTGGATCGATGGGTAGGTAAACATTTTTTTTATCTGATAGCAACTCTGATTGATAAATTGATTTTATATTATTTAACACCGAGTCAGCAATATTTCAGCCATATGTTGGCGGGGATAGCAACATTGAAAATACATTCTAAAGTTTCATGGAAAATAAAACAAAAATCATGATTCATTCACAACTGTTATTTTGTTGAACTTGTGAAATATCTAACGCCAGAGAACATTTATATAATCATTTTTTTAAAAAGAAGACGTTCCAAAACACGCAAACACCGGATATCCCAATATATATATATATATATATATTTTTAAACCTTCCATCAGCCTCCAGTGGTAATGTCTAGACAAATGCTGTACTTTTTTTAAGGGCCGTGGGATTTGCAATTGTTCAAGAGCATTTTGCTTTAGAGTTAAGAAGTAAGCAGCTAATTTTAAAATTCAGGTTCAAATCCAAATGAGGAACGTTGAAAATGGTCGTTCAAAAGGGACCATAAAAGATTATGACCAGTGTCACAAAAGATGTTGATTAAAAAAAAAATCCCGGTAATTAATGGCCAAATAATTGTTGAGTACGTCCAAAATTGTAGCAATTGATTTATGCTTAAATGTCAAATAAATTTCGAGGGGACTAAATAAAATGGATTATAATTTGCAGACATATTTAGAATTCATATGAAGCAGAGTATTTTTTTTATTTTGGCCAACTGTGCAATTTTTTTCCCTTATTACTTAAGAAAGCTGTGATAACAACTAAAACGAATCTTCCATGGAACTATCTGATTATTCTTTGTTCAATTGTGATTTTTAGGCAGCATTTGCACGTAATTAAATTTACTCGATTTAAAATATTTCTAAGTAACTAAGATATATTGCAGGTTCCAGTAAATGTTCAACCAAGCCTCTTTCGTTACTTCTCACTAAAATATTGACAGTAGTGAAGTACGTACTGGTTCCTGCCGACAAAGCAGGTAACAACACTGTCTTTGTTTGTAAGGCTCATTATATAAATTGCATTCTAGAAGAACTTGGATTTAATTCTACAAGTGGTAATCCTACTTATACATATACTTCTCTTTTAAGGAAGAAATTCTTCAAAATCACCTGTCAGTTTTGAATACTTTTAATATTCCACAGAGCCAAAATGAATTTGAACTACATTATATATATTGGATTCCGAAACTTCATAAGAATCCTTACGAACAAAGATACATTGCAGGTTCCAGTAAATGTTCAACCAAGCCTCTTTCGTTACTTCTCACTAAAATATTGACAGTAGTGAAGGAAAAACTTCAAGAGTACTGTACAACTATATATTCAAGAAGTGGTGTAAATCAAATGTGGATACTTAAAAATTCTAAAGAACTTTTGGACAATTTGAAATCACAAGACTTTACAAAAATCAACAGCATAAAAACTTACGACTTTTCAACTTTATACACAACAATTTCCCACGACAAATTAAAATCCAGGCTTTTTGATATCATTGACAGCTGCTTCTTTAACAAAAATGGAACTCGTAAATTTACTTACCTCGTCATTGGTCATTTGAAAAAATTATTTTGTTAAAACAGATTCTGATTGCACACATAAGTACTCTGAAGTTGACATCAAGAAGATGCTTGAGTTTCTGATTGACAATATCTATGTGGTTTTTGGAGACCAGGTATTCCAACAATCTATTGGAATTCCCATGGGTACAAATTGCGCTCCGTTATTAGCAGACTTATTTTTATATTCCTATGAAGCAGAATTTATGAAATATCTTTTACGTGAAAAGAAGAAAACACTTGCTGTGGCCTTCAACTCGACATTTAGATATATCGACGACGTATTGTCAATTAATAATGATAATTTCCATGCCTTCGTCGACACGATATATCCTGGTGAGCTTGAGATAAAAGATACCACAGAGTCCGACACTTCTGCTTCATACTTGGATATTTTACTTGAAAAAGACACTAATGGTAATCTAACAACCAAGCTATATGATAAACGTGATGACTTTAACTTTTCTATTGTCAACTTCCCTTACTTATGCAGCAATATACCTTCATCACCTGCATACGGAATATTTATATCTCAGTTGATTCGATACGCAAGAGCATGCTCTACGTATAAACAATTTCTTAAACGAGGTAAATTATTGACAAGCAAGTTGATGAAACAAGAATATCAACAGTTTCGTTTAAAGTCATCATTTCGTAAATTTTATGGTCGATACAATTCCCTTGTCAGCAAGTACAATTTACAATTGAGTCAAATGCTGACTGACGTTTTTCATACCAATTGTTAATCCATTATTTATACACTGAATTGACCACGGATGTTCTCCGTTATTTCCTGATTATGACAACGAGCACACGGCGGGTGTGACCGGTCGGCAGGGGATGCTAACTCCTCCATGGCACCTGATCCCACCTCTGATGTTTCGGAGGTCCGTGTTTGCTCTGCTCTTATTTTGTTTATTTGTTTAATGGACGTTGAGATTGAATACTGTTCGTTATTTCCATATCCTTCTTCAATCAATACAAACATCAATTCGATTTCACCCGAAATTTACTCTATCTTGCTTCAAGGAGCTATTCCTTAATTCGCATTTTGAATCGCTTTCTGGGATATAGAAATAGGTCCTTCAGATTTCAATGTATTAAAAGTCCCGTATTCCAGTGGGGTAGCACAAAAAGATCCCTCCCTGCTCAATGGTCCTGAGTACCGAGTATGGGACAAATAGATCACCACTGGCAAGTGACAGCGTCTCCATATGAGTGAAAAAATCTGTAGAGGAACGTTAATTAACATATACAATTAATTAATTTATGACAATCATCTAAATGAATGGTACTTAAGAGGTGCTTCGTTTAATATACATGAGTGATTCTGATTGTTTCAGAGATATTATTCAAGAATGTTTTAAGTGTATATTTCGATTAATTTAAAAGATATGTGTGTATAATGAATTCTTTCATTTTCATTTCTGTTACTTTGTTTTATTTTTGCACTCAGCATTAATAAGTACACAGGTTTTGTTCTTTTTGAATACATTTTTTTTTTATTTAAAGAAAGTATTGATTTTTTTTGGAAAAAAGGAGATCATGAAAAGACAGCATGTTCAAATGTAATAAATGTGTCCCTTGCAGTTAGCACTGTTTTTCATTTAAAAGTGCTCGTTCTAGTGGTGCCTTATCATTATAAATGTTTATTGATTTTTTTTCAAATAATCACTGTCCAATGCCAGTTTGTACCAGTAAAAACATACTTATATATTTTATCTGGTCCCTAACACATTTGCATGGGATTCTGGTAACAACAGAATTCTAGAAATGTTTCGAAAGAAAAACCTGAGTCATGTACAAATACTGTCATTTCTAAAATCCTCGTTACAGGTTAATGTGTTGAGCTCAATTTGCTTGTTGTAAGGTCTAATCTGAATCATAAACTATCAAATAAAAAAACTCAACATAGCAATGAATAAACAATACCAATACACACACGGATAGAGAGAGATAGAGAGAGAGAGGGAAGGAAAAAGATAAAATGAGTCTATAAAAATTTTGGTATTCTTACCATAGGAAGAAGAAATTTTTATCAAACAACCAAAAAGGGAAATCAGCACCCATTCTGCATTCATTTTGTTTTAAAAGAATAAAATTTACACAAGGAATTGCTGTTTAATCGATATCGATAAGGTCCGATAAGCGTTCAAGATTTACGATACCTTATAGAGCTTTAATTTACAAGAGAATTTTTGTCTGAATATCTAATAAATTCGATTAAACTTGTTTTGAAAGTTAAGAAAGCATGTTCTAGCGAGTGAATTCCATATATTTCATAAATATTTTGACATTAAAAAAAATATCTTTCAGATTACTTCTATGAATGATAATGAATATAGTGCTGTACAAATACCATGTTATTAAAAAAACTATCAAACGAAATAATTTGTGAAGAAAATTTCCTCTTAAATATTATTAATCTTTTTTATATCCATGTGTAAAAAAAAAGTCAATCAAGGAAGTGAAATTAAAAGTTTCCATAATATCAACTTCTTGCTGATTCTAATGAGTTGGTATCTATATTAGTTTATTCTTATTTTCACACGATATCACCTATGTAAGGTCCTCGCTATGTACCAGTGAAAGGCTGTAAATGTTGACCTTTACTCAAAATTCAGGGCTGTTGAGCAATGAGGGTATCTATCGTGCTAACACCTTTCCGTGACATGGGACCGTAGTTCACATCTACTTTATGTTGAGAAGAAAACTACGGAAAAATCTTTATAACTTCTCTAGAAGAGAATTTTATCATATGATATCTGTATAATTGCGCAAAAAATTGATCCAAATAATGATTTCTATTAGAAACAAAAACAAAATTCTGACATTCTGACATTAGATTAAATATGACGATAAAACAATGTAAAAGATACAAGTGTTATGTGAGCTCACTTTCTGGAACAACCTCTTTCCATCCACTGCTTTTTCCTTATAGAGGAACCCAAAAAAATCTCTACCCGAAATAGAGATCAAAAAGTTAAACAGGAGTTGCACAATGGCAATGTTAAAAAAGAATCTCTAAAAATTTAATCAGTGATAAATAAAGGGTTAAGGATAATAGATTGCAATTTGAACCTATCTATATAAAAGACAGATTGGCAGTGTCTATATTTCGCTATGGAAAACCCGAAATTGTGTCAGATCAAATAGTATAATGAAGGTGCATATAATACCCCATTGTAACAACGATTTTGTAAAGAAAAAAATGAATTTAATTTCATTTAATGTATAAAAGGATTTTGCTGATAAAAGATTTTTACCCAAAAAAGGTAAAAGGAAGATGGATATACAAAGGTGCACAAAGACGAATCAACATCTGATCACACACATCCAACCCTTTATATTTAAAACTGGATGCATACATCTTATGATTGGTGGAGGGACATTTCAGAATCTCGGTTATGTAATGAGCTTAAAGATGAAAAGTGGCTTGCATTTAAAATAATATTTGTATGAATATCGTTTGACTTATTCGCAACAAAAGGACTAAACCTGATATAGATTTGCATGAAAATACTTGTGCATGAGTTCTGTGGTACATTTTCTGGTCACATTTCTCATTTATAACAAACAACTTTGAAATATCTAATTTTCTGTTCAATTTTTTGTCTCTCTCTCTCTTTATGATTTTCTTAGAAAAATTAAAACACATAAAAGAAACAAAAAATAATTGACTATCACAAAATGAAACAGAAGTATGAGTTACATGTATGTACATACTACAAAACAGTTAAATTTAATTGTTGAAAATATCTAGACGTAAGTACTGAATGAAAAGTATAAAACATTATATTTTTTTTATTTAAAAAAAATGCTCTAATCAAGAAATATTTAAATTTCATTTTATCTTAAAGAGCAACTATGAAGTACAAAGGGGAATATTTGATAAAAGTAGAATTCATGCATGACCCGAGTTATGTTTTTTCAATTCATAAAAGTATGAGGTAAATTACAGGTTTAAGAACCCCCAAAAATCTATTTTTATGGAGAAAAATGAAAGTTTAAATAATTTCAGTACGTCCTTATAACAACACGATACATTCATTTATTCCTCCCAAATGTACACATGTGCATTAAATTTGAATAAGTTACCATAGATACCATGGTTTTAAATAACCCTGAATACATGTAGAGCAAGACTTTTGATGCCATCTTTTAAAAAAAATTGTATAAACATATTTCTCACCTTTAAATGTCTACAAGTTTGAGCTAAAAAACAAAAGTGACGTGATCTTGACATAAATGTACACGAACAAGACGAAAGGGTACATACAACCTAGATTCTCCGGCATTTCTATTGTGCAGTCTTTCTTTGCTTAACAGTACAATTCAATCGTGATATCTTCACAGTATACTAAGTCTTATGTTTCTTTAAAAAGTTATTTTAGAAAATGAATCTACAGACAAATGTTCTGTAAGTGAACATTATATATCTGGTGTCTTATTAATAACCGAGCGTGGATTTTAAATATTCTTGAAAGATACAGATATATATAGATTTGTGAAAATGTTAATTCTTATGGACTTTTGACCCTGACTACTGTTCGTTATTTCAACATGTTTAACTCACAAATCATTACCATATTTAGGCCATTTTTCGTCCTTATTTCATTTTTGCCCCTTTCGCCCCTTTCATGTATGGGCGAAATTAGAAAATACCGGTAATATCTTAACAAACTTTGGAGAATATAAAACGGGACAAATTGTTTGCAATTGAAAGTTTGTGAAAATAAAAAGAATTGAAAACAACCCTCTAAATACATGAAACATGTCATCAATTTACACAAGATTTTGAAAAAATCCATTTGGTTAAAGGTTTAAATACTACGTGTAAAAAGAGTTTTCCACAATAATTCTAATGTAATTTTTCATAATGAGAAAGTTGACTTATTTGACCCAGTTCCTGGTACCCAGCGTTGTCTTCTACTTTATCATAAATTTCTGTGTTAGGTGCAGTGTGTTCTGTTGGCAACTCTTTTGGGGTTTTTCTTTCTGGTTTTGATTTGTTACAAGCTCTATTTCTTAAAAAGCTAAAATAAAAAAAATACATTAAAACCTCCACAAATAAATCGTATAATTGTACCTCTGCGTTTGTCATTTGTATAATATGTAAAAACACATTACATTTTTCATGAACTTTGAATTGAAGGGTATATTAAAAATAAACTCACCATATAGCAAAAAAGACATTTAAAGCAATGCTTAAACAGAGAGCTGATATAACTCCGTAAAGAGATGGATAGAGATTGTTGTTGGTACTCAAACCTAATTGTTGTCCCATCACTGAATATATAAAAAAAAATATCTCGCAACAAGTCATCACAAATTTTATCGAGAATATTACTTGGAAATATTGAATCGGTTCTCATTTTCATTTTCAACGGGATCGCTTTTTTCAGTTTATATATGTAAATAATTATTGTAAGTTTGTTCAAATGTAGAAAATTTATTATAGACAGGGCGACCATCTTCGTTTTAAATATAATAAAAAATGTACATAGCTTCCCACTAATAATCTAGAAAAGTAGTGATAATACAAAGTAAAAGAAAAGCTTTCCTGATTTACAGCCATTTTATGATAGATGATCCTTTCGGGTATTTTAAAAATGTTTCCACCACTCAACAAAGGCATACAAAATACACAAAAAACAAAACCTAAATAAATTAAAATAAAAAGCTTTAATATTTGTACCATACCACTTAGGACGACGATAACAACATCGACGCCAACGATGTCTACAACGACAGACAACGGACAAATTTTGATCAGAAATATTCCCTTAAGAACCTTTCACTAAGATGAGCTTAAAATTGGTTTGGTACAAATGATTAGAAGAAATGAATAAAATATGTTTTGTGTGAAACTGACTTTTAACTGATTTTTTCTAGGCGATTGTTTGAATTCTATCCTATTTTATATAACGATACGATAAAGAGCAAAAAATGATACTTCTTTTCTTTTGTGGGTAACTGGAAATTCTCGTTAAATATTCTCTCAAGAAGTATCGTTCATATTTGCCTCCATCACTTTATGTATATACAATGTACAAGAGACTACAATGCATTGGAAAATGTAACAAACTTTTCATGGTAATTTTTTTTTACTATGCAATTTCTGTTCAATGTGTAAGTTTTCATAGGCGTTCGTCACGTTGTCAAACAAAGTCATGTGGCATCACAATAATGCTTTATTGTTATACTTGATTGGATCCTTACTACAAGTTGACTGAGAATTCATGTATAACATATTGACATTGAAACCTAGCACAAAAAATATAAATTTTGTATGCATTTTAAGCATTTGAATAGCTTAACATAGCTGTGTACCCTATTTGACCCCATAGAGATTCATAGAGAGTCTTTTTTCTCAATAGATCATACCTTGTATTCTGAATATTCTATACAAAATGATTTGTTTTTGGGGGGATGGAATTTAGACAAACATGTATAGAAAACATATTTTGAGTGTCTTTTAAGAATCATTCTAAGAATGCTCAAATCTAGTTGAGATAAAATTGAAGGATTGAATATAAACAATGTTAATAATAAGGAGGAATTATTACCGCTACATTGTCCTGAAATGGCGTCGCATGTCGTTCGAACTCTACAGTTGATATTGCAGGTCTCCTGGCAGTTGTATCCATAAAGCCCGTCAGAACATGCTGTGAAGAAAATTTCATATGCATAGTTTATATATCTTTAAAAAGATCTTCAATCTGTTTTTCAATCTTTTCGTTGTTAATAAGTAATTATCTTCTCTTTTTTTTGGGGGGGGGGGGTAGAGTTAGAATATCAGATTTTGGATTGATTACGTTTCTTTGCATTGTTTGCAATTTTTGATTGCCATTACATTATAATTCATTTATTACATTCTTTAACATAAAGTACCTTATCTACAATTTAAAATCAAACACTCTTTTAGTGGGTATTGGTATTTCATTGAATACAGTGTATTTGAATGTGTGTTTGATTACATGTTTCAAGCTTTTTTGGAATTTTTCATTCATTGTGAAACACCGGATTGCAAATTCGGAACTACACTCGACTTTTGAAAATTGATGAATCCTTTTTGTGCAAGAACCTACTATGACACAAAACGTGAGTCCAATGGAAATGACTGTTTTTCACGTTGCACAGAGGATTCGTTGCAAAGGACCAGCTGCTAGCATTGCCACTCTAAATGATCAGCTCTTAATATTGCTATTCTACAGCGAACCTTAAAACAATTGCACGACAAAAACACCCTTTTATTGAGTGAGACTGTAAACTATTTTGGGACGAAGATTTTAATTTTTTGTAATATATCATATATAAGGAATATTTCTTGCAGATAATATTTTGTAAATCCTTCAATCTATTACCTAATGTACAGTCGATCCCTTGATAACCTTTATCGCAGCCATTCAAGCATGTTCCGTTTATGTGATGACATTGTTCTTCATTAAAACAAACCCCGCATGACTGAGCACAGTTTAGTCCAAACGTACCACCGTCACATTCTGTAAATAAGTTATCGATTGCATATTTGTTTCGAAGCACTGATTTCTTTCTCAAATGATTCATGTTTTTCTAACAAACAAACAGAAAAAAGCACTGAAAGAGACCTTTACAGTAATTGAACTAAAAGTATTAAATTTATAAAAAGAATAAATTTAATATGTAGGGTATGAAAAATGCTATGTTCTCTTTATCCATAAGAATTGTCTTGTCGATGTCCAAGTCCGATAATCCCTTTTCAAACACAAATGACTTTTATACTATTAAAAGGAGACTGTGTGCTTTATTTTTGTTGGTTCATGATTGTGTTTATACATTGTATATGATGATCCAAGTTTGCTTGCCCGAGTATCATCTTTCCTCGAAAGATCCCTTACAAAAATACTACAGTAAACTACTCAAGTTAACTACACTAAACTATAATATAACAAGAACCAAAAAAAAAAAAAACTTTGTAAATTTGATTAACTACAGTTAAAGCATTGGAACTTTTATTAAATATATTGAAAACTTTTGAACTTTGATTTCCTAAAGTAAAAAATTAAGAACTTTGATTGACTATAGTTAAAATATTAGACCATTGATTTAGTATGGGGAAAACTTTTGAAACTTTGAGTTAATATGATGAAAAGTTTGGAATTTTGATTAAGTGCTATAAAACACGTGATATTTTTTTTATCTTAGATTTCCATTCTGTAAATTTTATCTGATTTTCAAGGTGAAGATTCATGAAAGCGTCAAAAACCTTTTAAACACAACTTCTCCCTAAAAGAATTATATAATTGAATTCAATTTAATATTAAGGTTGTCTTTCGCGTCGATGAATAAGACATATTTAAATAAAACTATTCGGTTTTAATGATATATAGATATAACGTGTCTTACAGTGTATGTATGAGGAAAAAGAAATACTACTAAATAGATTTGCGTAATTCAGAGTTACTTCATATATTTTAATTTAAATGTACACCAAAATCTAAATCCAACCAACTCCAGATAGACCCTTTTAAAATATTCAGGTGACAAAAAAAATAGATTGATAAATATACATAAATTGTTAAACTTATGAAAGAACTTCAAAATCTTGATATACTATAATTTAAAGCTTGGAACTTTGATTTACTATTGTGACAACTTTGGAACTTTAATTCAATATTGTAAACTATGGTTAACTGTAGTTTACTTTTATAGTATTTTTCAAAATTGTGTGCTATTTGATTTATACATTGAGTTCCTTAACAAAGCTTACGCTTATCACATTTTACATCTTTCCACCCTGGTTTACATCCGCCTTGACATTCCCCGGTTACTCTGTTACATCTATTAGGAACCCCACAGTTGATGTTACATGCCTCTCTGCAGTTGTTGCCATATTGTCCTTCAGGGCATTCTATGAGGAAATAATACACAGAATAAACGTTAACCTTTACTGTTACTTCTGAAAAGGTACTTTTCACAGATAATCTTTCTGAACTTGGCTGTATAAAAGATAAAAAATATATCGAGAAAAAAATTAATAATATATATCTTTCTTATTTGTTTCTATGAATGGAGAGAAAATTTGGTTGATTGAAAATTCTAAAATCACTCTGTAAAGCTTTCACTCAAAAAGAATAAGCTGTTAATCATGTGCGTTTGAAAATTTTTTTCACCAATCAGATTACATAAAATACAGGAATCAATTAATCCTTAGATTTTTCACAAATTATATGGTTATAATCTATTGATGATTTTTTGACATGACGGCATCGAACAATCCTTGATAAGGAGAAGGTAGCAAGGTTTATGCCACAGAAAGGGGTGGAGTCTAATTAGTACAGGAAACGTGAACTACAACATCATATAAAATCAACAATTCTACCAAAATGCCAGAAAATAATAAGGTATTTTTTTCTATTTTAACCTTTAGGAAATCATCAAACTACATCAAATGGTCTACAGCATGCTGCTTTGTCGTTAGTTACATCCCACATTGCTACATGTAGTTATAAATATGCATCTAGTCGCAATTCCCTTATCGATGTAACATCATTTTGTGAAACATGACGCAGAATGTATATGCAATGAGAGTTAAATCAAGCAATATTTTCTTAACGAAAAATGTATTCTTTATTTGAATGAAATACTATTTAGAGATATTTCAAAGGCAATTGATTTGGATTAAATGTCCTATTTACGATAATATAGATATATTTCCGTATATTTTCTATTTAATTGATACTGCCTTATATTTGTATGACGTATATAAGGGGCTTCATGTAATGTGAAGGTTTTAATTAATTGATATAGTATAAGGGCATAGAGTTAATTTTTCATGGATGCTTTTCGGAAATACGTTGGTATATTGAAGAAGTCTTGAAATCATTTTTCTTAAAATTTATACTTTTAAAAGAAATGTCATTCCAATTATAAAACATAACCTATTATTAACGATTGAATAAAGATAAATAAGTGTGTGAAGCCATAAAAATCTATCATTACGTCATCATATGCATTTGTCTGCTATTACTAGCGAAAAATTCCTTCAGTTTAACGTTACCAGTACAACAACAGCCAAGGGTTCAGTGCGTTATTTGTCTGCATTGTAAATAATTTGGTTGAAAATATCTATTCTGCCCAACACCTTCTGTAACTATGAGATGTTTTGAATTTTAAACATGTAGCCCGAGATATTTCTCTAAGCCATGTTTACCGTTATGTACTTCATTGATATAAGTGTTACGGAGGACATGCTTTCGATGCGACAAATGTTTTGTTTTAAAATATCCAGCTACGTGTTATATTTTTGCATTGTTATTGTTTTAATGGCAAAAGCGGAGCAGAATACTTATATAGTGGACTGTCATCGATGAACGATATCATAAATGAATGTAAATTAGACTCTCTGTTTAGCAAGTTTAAACTCAGCTAGAATGAATTTCTCAGACGCCAATCTCATATTTGGTTGTGTGTTAAATGAACATAAAAACGGAAAACAAAAAAAAAGATCACAGTTAGTCTGGAATTCGCAATATTCGATTTCCACAATGCCCCATCACATAAATCACAGAACATCCATAATAGATTTACGCCCATCCTCCCTTTTTACTTGATATGTCTCCCTGTGACTCTTTACCCTTATTTGAAAAAAAGAATATGTTTCAAGATGTGGTCTGTGTTCTATCATTTATGAATTCATGTAAATGACAACACCCCCGCCACAACCACCACCAAGAATAAAAATAATATAAAATACATTTAGAGCTTAGATGTATGTTTCATTTATTTTTGTTTGTCAAAGTAAAGTATTTTGGAACCATGAAAGAACTTACAATATTTTTCCTGTTTTATGTGAGCTTTTTCCTTGTAATCAGTTTTAACATTATTTATTCATTGAACGCCCCTATATGTAAAATCCAGTCTCATTTGCTTTAAAAATAAGAAAGGAATATATTTTTTTTTCAATTTAAACAGCTCCGCACACTTTTTAGGCTCACGTGGTTTTTCGTACAAATTAAAGTCGCACTCTTCTTACAATAAAACTGAACTTCAGTATAAGACATAACCCGAGTATAAGCAGTTGAACAGATAGGAAAGACCGTTATTACTTTGCGTGTTGGAGTCATGTTAATGTATAGAATATCCATTAGATACATCGACTACATTTTTTTGTGTATTTAGGGAAGATAAATAAATATTTTTAAAAGAACGGATACAAGGACGCCCGCATATGACAAGAATATCAGAAGCCATATTGAATAATCCTCCAAACCAGAGCAAATCATAATCTTATCAATTATTATGTGTGAATTATGTTTTAAACTTTAGGGAAAAAAATACATTTTGTTGCTTCGTTATATAAATTTGCTTGATAGCAATGTGACCTTAATATGTGCAAAAAGCCATATGAATTAAAACAGAAAGTTCGCGGAGATGTACATATTGGAAGTTGGAATCATTTTATTTACCTTTAGAGCATTGTTCTCCCTGAAATCCTCTGTCACATCCATTCAAACATGTTCCATTAATGTGGTGACATTGGCCGAAATTAAGACACGAACCACAAGAGATATTGCAATCAGCACCATAACGCCAACCATCACATTCTAAAGGAAATTTTTAATTGCTTACCTTATACCTTTAAAAAGAATCTATTAGGAAATTAAAATAGTGTATTCCAGGCATATGCATAAAATAACTGCTGTAACGAAGTTATTCCTGATTGCAATTTAAGAAGGGCGATCAAACAGTTTGTGAACTGAATAAAAGAAATAAGATTATATTTCAGTGTTAATTATTTCGCACTGTATTTCTCCCCTGTGCTTCTGCCACCGTTCTGTCTTTGCGCAAATAATGTGATCTAGGAGGCATTTGACATGCTCTCTAGGGTTCAGTTAGAATTATTAATTATTCTTACGAGCTTAATATTTCTTTCCAAGTTATTATTTAGAACAAGTTCATCTCTATGTTGTGTACAAATTCGAGCTATAGGATTGGTGGATACATAATATATACTTTTTTTCAGAATGAGTGTGATTACAAAACCTCAAGTTCTATGTCTTGTATGTGTCGTGGGTTTATGTCTGCCGAATATCATTCCGATCAAAACTGTGAATTTGTTTCTATATAAATAATTTGCGAACTGTGCGATAACCCCTCTTTTATGTATATAATTTCAATTTTTAAAGTATACAATAAATGTAGTTTAAGATAATGGAATTAAAGCTTTGCGTTTATTTTACAGGGAATATTTTCTAACATATTATTCCAATATTTAAATCAAAGTTTGTTTTGATTTAAGTTGTTATGCCATTTTAGCATATGATAAAAGGGGAATAAAAATGAAAGAAAGGTAACGGACTTAAAATATATGAGGGTTGTCCCAAAAAGTCGTAGACAGGGAAAACAATTTATTTTCTCTTTGTTGAATTGAATTTCTTTTCTTCTCAAAACAAGAAGTAACATTATATGATCATGCATTTCAAATTTCATAATGATATCACATTTAATAAGGAAGATATAAAAAAAAATAAAGAAAGCATGTAAGTGTACATCAGCGCACGGAAGCAAGTGTAATTTGCGTCTCATTAAGCGTCATGATCCCTTTTTCTGCTTCACACACGTCTGTTAACATTCAATATTTTTTTTAAGTGAAAGACCACTCTTGACTACCGGACTTTTTTAAATTCACTACTGTCAGGTTTTTGTTGTTTTTAAGCAGATTTAAATATTAGTCGAAATTAAGTCTAAAGATCGCCATAAATTGTAGGTAGCATAGAATGCACATTGTTTGACGTCGTTTGTGGTTCACATTGTTACCTGTTGTCTGATTACCTTAACGAACACAACTCTACTTCTTATATGTTGTAACTAATTTTGGAACAGAGCAAAAAACTCTCATTGAATCTCATGTCATTTAAAAATAACTTCCCTATTAAAATCCAGTGTGTAATGTCACTTCTGTACATTTTTCACGTCTCTAGTGAATACCAATCATATTCAAAATAATCTTGTATATATCCGTGCACCGGTTACGCGTTTGAACATTGAATATATTATGTTTATGAAAAATTTGGTTTGTATTGGTTGCATGTTTTAAAAGTTATAAACATTGATTATGACTGTTTTTGACACCCCTCGTATATATATATACATACCACTTTCACAAAAGGTCCCCTTCCATCCAGGGTTACACCCAAACTTGCAGACACCAGTGAATCTCTTACAACCTTTACAATTCTGCTGACAGTATTCAAGACAATTCTTCCCGTGTCTACCAAAAAGACATGTGATTATTGATATGTAAGACACACAAGAAGTTGTTACTGAACATTGGGAATTTTATTCAAAGCGTCAGTACTTCCCAGAAAGTACAAAGTATGCAAAAACAATAAATAATAATATGCCATTTTAGTGAAATAGGGTATGCTCTTGCAATTTGTATATAGAGTCTGTACTTTTATCAACTTTATTCAGTACATATTCTAGTGATTATTTATCACGTGACTGTCCATCCTTTGGGCCAAACTAAATTCTGTACAGAGTGGGTACAGATTCGGTTATCCTTTGATATTTCCAGAGGTTTTTATTTTATGTGATAATAAAGCAGCTTCATTAATCCGGATTTAAAAAGTCCCCGTGTTAGCACGCTTATACTGCTAACATCAAAGTACGCCTTAACAATGCTGCTGAGGCCATGCTTTAAATTGTTTTCTTTCGAGCCTTCTCGGAAAATAAAGGGTAAACATTTCCAGGATTTTATTAAAAATTATATTATGGCTCACCTTGGTCGCATGTATATCCTTGAACTCCGACGTCACATCCCTTTGGGCAACTTCCGTTGACGTGACTACATTGTTCCCCGGCACTACAGTTACCACATGTGAAGCTACACTCAGGGCCATATTTATTATTATCACAACCTGGAAATTGACAAAAAATATTTCAAATTATTCTAGTTTGAAGTTAAAATATTCATATCAATATAATCAATATTAAGAAAATTAAGGCACGTAACTTTTTAAAAAAAAAAAGATTGGAGGAATACAAATGCAATGCAAAAATCGGAAACTACAACAACTAATCTTTTTTTTGAATTTGAAAATGCAGCTTAATCTACTACTATTATGGACGTCTTTGCAGCATATTTAATATTACAGGAAGAGTAAAGGGCCTTATTTATACAGGAATGATTACTATGACGTCAAACAACGATTTTAGGTCTTCAACATACAATACAAGAATTAATTCCCTACTTTTATCTGCTGGATAGCTTAACACTATATCAAAACTGCATTTTTTATGCAGTCTTGTCCTTTATTAATGCAATACAACAAAATACAACAATTAAATGATCGCAATGCACTTGACAAAGTGATGTCATCTTGTAAAAGTTGACGCAGCTTGTTCGAAATTTGTAATTTGCATTATTCATACAAAACAAGTCTAAAATAATTCAAACATCCATTTTGTTTGTACTATTTCTATTCATGAAGCTGAATGTTGTCTCTCTCTCTCTCTCTCTCTCTCTCTCTCTCTCTCTCTCTCTCTCTCTCTCTCTCTCTCTCTGAATAGATGTATACGCACTTTTGTCACACCGTGAACCTTGGAAACCTGGAATACATCCAAGGCAGGATCCATCTACAATGTTACAGTAACCCTCTTGACAATTCTGTGGACAAGGCAAAAGACATGTGTTTCCATAAAATCCTGGTGTAGAACATCCTAAAAATATCATGTGTTAAGGAGATTTGACCATTTTGACCCTTGTGATATTTCCGAAACACGCTTTAACTTTATAAAATTAAAACATTTTTTTTTCTGATTTCTTATGTAGATTTTTTGGTAACAACAGTCATCCTTATATCAATCAATATTTATTAATCATGACAAAGGTTTAACAATGATTAATTAAAACAAAATATATATATACATGTAATATGCACTTTTACATAAATATTTCAGACTATCTTTGAATTTATAAATATTCTATTGGTGCCGTTGATTGTTCTGAAAATACTATTGTGAGTAAAATTTCAATAACATCATGAGTATAATATCGGACTTTTTTCTTCAATATCGCTTTATTTTGATGTAGATTGAATTCCCGAACTGCAACATTTAAAATATTCATTTTATAAACATCCATTTCTGTCTCCCACTGAATATGTGTGCCTGTAAATTTGGGCTTTTCTGTCCGTCCATCTATCTTTCTACCTGTCCTTACCTAGTTCTGTTTGTGTATTTCTTTAAATATCTAAAGAAAAAACCATCAGAGGTAATTACAATGTATTTAGAATTTGTCGGATGAAACCTTTTTTTCCGTGCTATATCATTGAATCCCTTGCAATGAAATGTTATACCAGAACTCCCGTTCTCCTCAGGAAGACCGCTTTTCATTTTGATGTCGTAGGTCAAAATCGTTAATAAAAACACTCTGTGTGTGTTCATTTCCGGGCGACGCCTCAAGAAATTTTAAACTTTTAGACCATAAAATTTTTTGATAATGTTTCATTTTAAAAAAATATAAGTAAGATTTGAATGATTTTCTCAAGATTATTTCTCTCTTTGTACATGCTTTTTAATTCCAATTTAACTTGATTTTCTTTTGGAAAAAAATACCAGTTTGCTTTGAATTCTTAATACCAAATATACCATTGTTTCGTGATTATCTGGATTTTTCTTACCATATACTTGAACTTCACATAGCTCGTTGTACGCGGTCATGGAATATCCAGATGGATAAGTAACTTCTCTGTCTCTTTCGTTGTAAAAAAATACAAACCGTCCATGTTTTACACATTCTATGGTAACATTATCCGGTATTGTGGCTCTGGTATACATTGTGTCTTTAAAACATAGAATTCCATCATTTTTGTCGGTTGTGTTCGAAATGTATACCGAGAAACCAAGGAATCGCCCTGTGTATCCATTGTTTTCATCTAAAAGAGCATCAAAATGCGTTAATGAGTGCAGTTATATCAAACTCATTGTAATATAATGTATTATGTATTGTTAGTATAGTAAATTTTTCAACGGCATGTTATATTGCCAAAGTCCTCAAGGTGTATGGCAAAATATCCGGGGTAAATCCATGTACAACTTGATTGAGCCATGATAAAGCATTTATTTCCTTTGTTCTCAAAATATTTTTTGGTAAACATAAGTAGCATCAACTGTGACTAAACCAATAAGATTTAATGCGTTCTACACTATGCATTGTGACGTCACGTTTAATTTACCACCAGCTCAAGTCGAGTGCAAGGAAATTGAAAACCGACTCTGTAACCAATTAAAGCTCCTGTTACAGGCTACACATAGGATATAAATGTTTTTATCCTTTTGGAGAAAAATACTATTAATCTAAAAATAAATGAAAATAATGTTTATTCTTTCTTTTTGATATGAAAACAATTTAGAATTCGTATTTAGACTTAAAAACCGTAAATACACTAAGACCAGCCATTCTTAATATATATGTATAATTTTTATAGAGGATTTAATTACAAATAAAAAAATAACACTATTTTTCAAAGTCTTTCATTATAAAATATAGTACCAAATCGACCTCACAGTTGCATTTTTTCGGTATGATTGCGAAAAATAAACTTCAATCACGACAGAATTAGAAGGAAAGAATTTTGTTCATAATATAAGGATAGATAATGCAGGATAGATGAGTGAACTGGATACAAATATTACTACAAACCAATTTTAGTTACATGTACAAGAAACCAGATTTTTACATGAAAATTCATTTTAACACAATGTCATACCATTTATCGAATTTTCCATTGAAAATAACAAAACAAAATCAATATACAGAAGCTGTTTTTACTGTACCCCACACAGCATTATCCGTCCTATAGTAAATAGTTATATGATATATACTGAGCACTTCTTCAAGATCCACCCTCCAGGTGGCATTTTGTGCAAAATTGGCTGATATGGTACATTGTCCTCCAGCAGCTGACCTGTCTGAATATCGTCCATCCACAGCTTTATCCGCCCCCCATTGCTGTCTTTGATACGGATACTGCTGCCAGGCAGGCTTGTTTAAAGCAATGTTTTCTGTGAGTGGAAGTAAAATTATGCAATCGCGTTGAATCTTGATTTTATCTATTGAACGATCTTTCTGTAATGCATTCATCTCCATTATCATATTTATGTAATCATTATGGAAGAATGAGTATCAAGATTCTGGCCAATAATTGTATTGTAAATAAAGTTGAAAAAGCATTCAATGAATGTCATTCAATCATATAGGAGTTTAATTCTGCTTAGTAGGATAAAAACATTTTTTAATATATATTGATCGTCGAGGACTTCTTCATTTTAATAGCCATTCTCTGAAACCACTTAAACTTCGTTGTCACGCATGGTCACCGATTTTAATGAAACTTCACTCATGCTTAGTACTTGACACCAGAAACAAATATCAAACAAAATTTCGTTGTTATGTGTCTCGGTTGCTATGGCAACAGCCGGAAAAATTTGAAAAATCTAGATTTTCAGCCACTTTAAATCTTGACTGTGGCCTAATAAAAACTAAAAAAAGCAAACAAGTCATTCTCACAAAAACATGACACCTAGCTTGATGTCACTTATACTGTAATGAAACTGTTTAGAATATATCTCAAAGTAAGTGGTAACCAAGGATACATTTGGAATACATTTAAAATGCTGAAATATGCTGAAAAACACCCAGTATTCACGAATGGTATCAAAGACTTTTATCATAGAGAGTTAAGAGAAATTCTGAGACTATGCGTGCCACAGCTCCAATTTAAAAGCTCAAGTCATTACAGAGAATAGCTCTTAATTTCTTTAATCCTGAGTAATTTTCTTTAAAAATCTATGAGAATCTGACGAATTTGTAAATGTGAATAAGATATTTAAACAAGAGGCCAAAGGGCCTTATAGGTCACCTGAGCATTATGCAACAACTTTCCAGTTATTGAATTTGATTCATGTTTTAAGTCAGATGTTACATGGCATTCACAATTTTGAAAGAGGCACCTTTGATCATCATGACAATACACTTAACAGTTGCTTAGGTTGGTTACTGAATACCTATACACAGGGTAGGGGAACAATATTGCATTTCAACTAATCAGTAATATTCAGCAATAATCAGTTTTGCCCCTAACACTGTGACATAAATCCCTGACCCAAGGTTCACACATTGCACAAATTTTAAAAAGGCACCCTTAAAATTGCCTATCAAAAAATAAATAAATGTCTTATAAATATAAAGGAGCAGATTTCAAACAATTAATTCATTTTCAGTATATAAGTAGACCCCCCCCCCCCTTGACCCTGGGGCCTTGAATTCACAATTCTGCAAGATTAGGGCCCTTGCTCATCATAACTATTTAGGTAGTTCATCTGCCTCATACCCAGAGACAGAGAAGAAAATTTTCAAAGATTTAATGTATTTTCACTATATAATCAAAAGAGCCCCGCCCTAACACCAGAGCCCCTCACCCTGGGGCAATAAAGTTCATAATTTTAGAAGAACCATTCTTGCGCATCATAACTACGTACTTAGTTAATTTATTTAATACCTAGGAGCAGAGAAGATTTTCAAAGAATTCGTGTGTTTTCACTATATAATCAATCCCCCCCCCAACACAAGAACCCTTGACCATGGGGCCATAAAATTCACCATTTTGGTTGAGGCACTCTTGCTCATCATAACTATGCACTTAGTTAGTTTATGTGATACCTAGGAGCAGAGAAGAAGTTTTTCAAAGAATTCATGTATTTTCACTATATAATCAATAGAGCCCCCCCCTCCTCCCCCCTAACACCAGAACCCTTGACCCTGCGGCTATAAAATTCACAATTTGGGTAAAACACTCTTGCTCATCATAACTATGCACTTAGCTAGTTTATTTAATACAAAGGGGCAGGGAAGAAGATCTTCAAAGAATTCATGTATTTTCACTATATATAATCAATAGCTCCCCACCCTAACACCAGAACCCCTGACCCTAGGGCCATAAAATTTACAATTTTGGTAGAGGCACTCTTGCTCATCATAACTATGTACTTAGTTGGTTTATTTAATACCCAGGAGCAGAGAAGAAGATTTTCTAAGAAATAATGCATTTTCACTATATACTTATTTAACCCCGCCCTAGCACTAGAACCCCTGACCCCAGGGCCATGAATTTCACAATTTTAGTAGAGAACTCAATGCTGATTACAATCATGCAAACAGTTTGACTGCTTGATGTCCAGGAGTAAAGAAGAAGATTTTTAAAGATTGCATTAACTTTAATGGTTTTGGCCCCACCCCTCAGGCCCCAGGGGGGCAGAGATCATGAAATTCACAATTTTTGTTCCCCTTCACCCATAGATGTTTTGTGGAAAAATTTGGTTGAAATTGGTTCAGCGGTTGCAGAGAAGAAGCTGAAAATGTTCAAATGCGAACACACGACGGACGACGCACGACGACGGACGAAAACGGACAGAAATAGGTCACCTGAGTTTACTCAGGTGACCTAGAAAGCTGTTTATTTCGCAACATACTTGTAGCACATCTATACATATAAATTAATGAAATTTGCAAATGAACTCCGAAACGGGAGTCCATTTTTCTCTTGTATATTAAGAATCGTAGATTAAATTATAAGTCTACTTAATTTTCTTAAACAGTCATGAAATAGATGGTGAATATGTGAGTAGGTTGGCGTTTCATGTTGGCGGATTTAAGCTACCAGTAATTCTAATGAAAGTGACAACAAGTAGTCTTTCATTTATGTCATTAACCGTCATCAATGTATCATTCAATCAAAAATTAATTCAGGAGGTTGTGATACTGATCTTGGTCTGAACACATTTTATTTCTGTAAACCTTCATCATTTTTAAGTTCTAACATTAAATCTTGAGTTTTCAATGCAAATTTTACTATGTAAAAAAAATAAAAATAAACGGAATTAAATCCCATTCAAGTAGGAATAATCCAGAAATTTTATAATTTGTGGCGTAAGATGGAAAAACGTCAATGTAATTTTTTATTACGATACAAATTTAAGTACAAGAAGATTATGTAAAAATGCACTGTAGCGCTAAATAAAACATACTGACTACCATTTTTCATTTCTTTTTGATTAAGCTATGTGTGTAGAAACTGAAAAAATATAATTGACAAAAAAGTTTAACTTCGACTTTCAATATCAGGAGCCAACCTCGTTAAACTGATTTTGTGCTTATATGTATGTTTCATTTCTGTTATTAAGCCGATTTATTGTGAGGATGTTAAATTGGATGGTGTGTCACAAAGGTTTAAGGTTTTAGGTCCAGTGTCAAGAATATTTAAGAACAGTAAAATGGCCATTTGTTTAAATACTGAAATAAAAAAATGAATACTAGTACTCAATATCATTATGAATTCTACATAAGTGCTTTCATGTTATTAAGAAAAAAAAATTCTTAACAGAATTTTACCGTAGTAAATGTTAAGAATAATTTCTTTGTTACGAGATGTGATCAAAACGTTCGCATTCTACATGTATTTCTATGCTTTTGAAATCATGAATAGATCAGATTGGGACTTGACATGCCTGTAGTCGTGCATATAATAAAAGCATATGAAAAGTAATGATTTCCTCAATCATTGTTACGTCACAATATGAAAAAGATGTCAAGATAAAGGTGACTCGTGACGAAAAACGTATTGTTATGCCTGAAAAGTACATGTTTAACATTGATAAATAAAAGTACATCAATATTTATTACATTAAGAACAATTTTACATCTGATATGCACTGAATCAGTAAATGTAAACGTCCTTATCAGAATCTGTCCAAAGCCTGGTCACTCAGATTAGAATTTAAATTTAAAAAAAAATCACACACCAAAACTTAAAAAAAAGATATGCTTTACTTACAATTGTGACTTCCCTGACAAAAAAGAATGTCATCTCTTTATTTGATGCTGGTAAAGCGTTTAAAACAAACAGGTTACTTTGGGTAGTACTACATATATATTTTGATGAACACAGGAATCACTCAAGGGTTACCGATTGAACCTCATTATCCACGGATAGTGTTCAATTAAAGACATTTTCATTACGATGTGTACGGTATATACATGTACGTACAAGTAATTTTTAGGTTTTTTTTACAAAAAAATTTATAATAAAAGCAATTTTTGAGAAAATCATAACTTCGAAACCGCACCACATTGACAGTCCTTTTCTTCGAGATTTTTAAGTGAGGGAGGGAAGGTAGCAATTTTTACTTCGTATCTTTAAAAAAAACTGAAATAGTTAGATCTACTTTAACAAAAAATACTTGGTATGAAAGGTCGATGTGATGGTTGGTTTAAGATAGGTTGAGGAAAACAATTAATACAATGCTAAATAAACGACATATCTCAATGTACTGAAACAAAGGATAGACACTAGAGTCTAGTTATATGATTGTTTTAATGCATCTAAATAAGGTTTTTAAGGTAGAAAGATGTCGTAATTCTACATCAAGAATTGCACTAAAAATAAGGTTTTTATTTAATGCTGTCGAGAGGAAGAGAGAGAGAGGGGGGGGGGAAGGGAAGAAAGAAATATAGAGAGTATATCATACACAAATTCTTACCATAAGCAGATATAATTTTTACGGTTAATAGTATTCCACCAATAGAATTAAGCATTCCAATTTCTCTGTACATTTTGTTGACTCGGGATAATTTTAATCCAGGAAGTAAATTTTAAGTTATTTATAGCACTTTAAATATCTGAATTAGGTCAGGTTTGTAAAGCTATATATCTGACAGCCGTCTCAGGTTTTTAGATAAACAAATAAATGTATGTTGGATTTTTTAAAGCCCAGGAAAATATTAATGCACAGTCTGATATATAATTTAAAAGCATCAACGAGAAGTTATTCATATTGCTACATCTAATGTAATGGTGCAACGATTAATTTTTTGAAAATATCTCCTCGGTGATTTAATTTGGATATCTATGTTTAAAGATAAAAAAAAACGTGACAAAACAAGAAAGCTTGAATGAAATTCGTTAACAAGCAGTACGTTTAATCGTAAATTCCTCAACAAAAATAATTCAAAAATATAAATTCTTAAAATTTTATCCAACACTAACATCACACGCAGTCAATAAGGGTATATCGCTACACAAGTAAGGAACACCGACGACAGAAAATTTGATCATCTTGTTGCTAGGACACCATCGATGTCCTAATGCAAAAAAAAAACAAATATTGATAGATTTTTCACACTTGTGGTATCTTTTATTTTAGTTCATGAACATGCTGTAAAAAGAACATGCTGTAAAAAAATGAAACAACATACAGCAAGGATACAGACAGGTCATACATGTAAGATATAAAATGTAACAAGAAAATCACATGAGATGTCTTCATTTGTTTGGCTTCTTATTTATATTTGTCTGTCTGTACGTCCTCTCTCTCTCTCTCTCTCTCTCTCTCTCTCTCTCTCTCTCTCTCTCTCTCTCTCTCTCTCTCTCTCTCTCTCTTTACGCAGTACAGTAAAGGTGTGCAATGGGAATATCGACAATATTTTGTAATAAAAATTGTATTCATAATCTGGTTTGTGTTTTTAGTACATTTTTACATGTATATAGGACAATTGTAAATATGGTTAATAACTACATGTCGAGGACGATTATTTTATATTAAGACTTGTCACGTGATGAGACAGTCACATGATTTTATTACTTGTAGTATTGATGTTACATATTAATGTCACTAGTGCAAGGGCATAACCAAGTTAAAATTCTAAGTTTAGTTGATAAATATTTTCAACACGCAAAGTAGTTTTTTAAGAGTGTTGCAATGCTATCTAAATGCTGCAATTTTACAATTTTTCATAGTTAAAATAAGATAAAATAAGCTTTATTTAAAGTCAGTATGATAGTTAACGAGTCCGAGTCTAATTATTTCTGCCCTTGGATTTTTTGAAATTTTTTTGATAATTAATTTTTAGTGTTATATTTATTGTCTTTGGATTAAAAATCGAATGTTTACCACCCCGATTTCTAATGGGGCCATCTCAAATTATGTCAAACTTTCCTATTGGACCCTATGGGAATTTGTTAGAAAATCGCAAAATTTTGACATTTTTTCCATATTTTTTGTACTTCTGCCCTAGGGACTTCTTTTTTATTGAAGTAAATGAAAGGTTATTGCAAAAAGTTGCCAAATTATGAAATTTTAAAAAAAGTTCACCATCGATTGGTTTAGGTAGTAGTTACTAAGTTTATTTTTTCGAACCCAAATACATACCACTAAA